GGTGCACATATGCTGGCATAAGTTTGCTGATTTTCTGTTTTTTTTTTTGTTTTGTTGTTTTTTTGTTTTTGTTTTTTTTTTTCAAATAACTATTGACATGGGGGGCAAATTTCCTTCCTTAATTATTAATTTTAAAATTAAAATAATTAAATAGATTTGTTTATATCACATATTATATTTAAGATATCACTTCATTATTAATGGTCAGACAATTTTTATCTACCAGAAGCTATTTCATGTTGCTTTCGGTCTTCCGTACATTTGAATTACAGATGTTTTATGGATACAAAAGCCATGCAAAATTGGACTTTTAATACGCTGGTGGTTCATTGATTGTAATTAACGATTAACAAATTCTAATTTATCTGTAAAGATAGATCTACTTAATAACACCATTGACTAAACTGTACACCATATTCCCTAATTTTAGAATATTTAACAACTTTAATGTAAAAATAATAAAATAATTTAAGAAATAACAAATAATCGTTTTAAAAATTCATTTTTCATCGAAAGTTTTTTGCTTTCAAACAATATTATCCATATTCATAAAAAACAACTAAAAGCATTTGAAATTAATGTTTTATTGAGTTTTGTATGTTAGAATTCAGAGCTAATTTTCAGTTAGAGATGGTTTGATTTTTTTTTAAAAAAAAAAAAAAAACATGATTTGCTTTCCTCAAAGCTTTGTGCTTTTAACTAATATAATCACTAAATTGTACTCTTTTGAATTTCTAGAGTTTACATAAAATTAGTGGGGGTGGGGTAATAAATAAAAAAGTTTTGCCATGACTTTAAAAAAAAGAAAAACATTTATAATAATTTCCATCATTTGTGAATAGATTCTGGAAGTTTCATTAAAATCTGACAATTATTTTTATTTTTGCAAGATTTTGAAAATTAATATCTGTCATACAAAAAAAGCATGCTAAAATTTTGTTATTTGGTAGTACCGCTGATACAAAGAAAAACAAGGTTTTTTTTTTTTTTTTGTTTTGTTTTTTTTTTTCTAATCAAAAGTTAGAATGTTCTAGGAAGAAGGAAAAAAATTTTTTTTTAAATAACTGAAAAATACTTTCTTTCCTCTTAATAATAAGAAATATTTTGATTATAAAATTTTGTTCTTGTCAAGTTTGGCATCTTTTTCATCATGCTGTGCTCTTTTTTAGTGATCTCATTGAGCTACCTAAGTGTATTAGTTAAAATCTGGGCATTTCACCCCGGAATCTTTTCCTGACTTTACCTTCCAAGAAGGTAGTTAAATATCTCCAGCTAGTATCTGGTCACCTGTAACTAGTGATCTTCAAATCTCAGTCAAGACATTTTAGTCACTTTTTAAAAACTGCTTTATTTTTTGTTATTACTATGTACAATCAGTAGTGTTAGAGTATATGCTATACTTGGAATTTCTTTCTGTTCATTGTCAATGATTTGTAATATACTAAATCTTTCTTCCTTTAATTTTGACATTCAATGTGATACATATGCATTACAAAAAAAAAAAAATCTGAGTTCACTTTTTTCTTCTTTTTTTCCCCCCATTTATTTTGAAAAGTTGAAATCTGTATTCTAAATTCATGTAAACTGTCTCAAGCATTTTATTTTGATTATGAGAATTGCAAACTGTAGCTCAAAAGATGAAAATAGAAAAAGAGTTGTATCTCAAAATATTTTGAAGTTCCATTTTGAATTTGACTAAAAATCTCTATACAGCATGCATACTATGAATCTCTCGCTTGTTCAGTACCCACAGTCATAGGAAAACTGCTGACTTTATAGTTGTCCAGAAGACCATTTACACTCTCCTTGTAGATCTAGACTAATTTTTTTTTTTTTTTTTTTTTTTTTTCCACTTTTGAATGTTGCTTTATTTTTATTTTTTTATCTCATAGTTGTTAGTAACATAAAAAAAAAAAGTTTAGGAAATTTTTATTTTAATCTATTCAATTTTTGAATTGTGTTCTCTGTGCCCTACAACCACTACTGCTCCACTTGTTCACTGCTTTTCTTGAGTCATATTGCTGAGCATGAGTGCCAGGAATGGCATCTTGTAGTTGAGTATTTTATTTGAAAGGTAGCACAAATACAGAGGAGATAGGGATCATTTGACTCTGTGAAACATCATGGTGTATCACATCTGTAAAAGACTGAATTGTTGGAACTAAGGAATAGAGCTCATCTGAATAATTGCTGTGGGAAAGAGGCTGCAGAGTGGAGAATAAATCTTCCCCACTCAGTCGTGTTTTTGAACTCTTATCAAGGCTTAAAAGCATTAACAATACTCCATTTTTGGCCTAATCACGTGTAAAGATAGTCTGGCAGGAGTCGGTACTTCCCGGAGCAACAGAATGAGTCAACCATTTTTCCAGTATATGGATCATATGTATGCTTGTGGTACAGACTGAATTTGAGAACCCGTATACATTAAAAGCAGAGAACATCATTAAAAGTGACACCATGGAAAAAAACTTTGGGTCTGATCTAAAACAATGCAAGCTTGCTGTTTGTGGTGTTGTAAATTATTGAAAGTTACATGCCAGTTTAGCTCCATGCTCAAGTATTAGGTGATATAAATCTTGAGTGAGGATTTGAAGACCTCATCAGCTTTGGTCCCTTTTGTTCTGGGCACCAATAGTTCAGGATTGATTTTTTTTCTCTCTCTCCTTTTTTTTTTTTTTTTTTTTTTTTGCTTGCTATCTTACTTTAAAACTGTACTTAAAATTGTGGAAATATCATTTTATTACTTTAATAGGAACAATTTTAATGATTCAAACAATTTTCACACTTTGTTACAGATACTATTTATAAAAATTAACTCCACTTTTGGTTTGATTTTTTTTTTTTTTTTTTAAGTCTTGGCAGAATTTACAAATTTTTTAATGCAAAAAGCAGGGGTATAACACCCCATCCTGCTGGTACACCGTTACTAGTTATCATTTCATCAATCTGTCACAGTAGTGTTTTTATTTATATTTTGTATCTAGAGATTGATAAAATCCAAAGAATCTTCAATGTTATCAGTCTTGATCTGGTATCTCGGCTTCAGTCACTTTCCTGTCACCATAATATAGCTTCCCTGTGCCTTTTCTAGAAATATTTTCATGGTAATTGTTCTGTTCTGATGAGCTTTCTTTTTACACATTTAAACACAGTACTAAATTAGCAGCTAGGTCTCATTTTACAGTTGAAATTGCTAGATATAACCATAAGTTCTATGCTGAGTTTCTTCTCTTGCACTCCTCACTTGTGGAACTCTCTTCCAGCTTATTGGCTTCTAGTTAACTTTGCATTTAAATTTTTGAAGATCAATGTCAATCATTCTTTTTAATTCTTGCTCTATTATTGTTCTCTCTCCTTGATAATGTTGTTCTTGTTTTCATATTCTTTCACACTCAGTAAGTCCTTGTGTCTTAGTGGCTTTATTGTCTTGTTTGGGAGAAATGATTAAAAAAAAGTCTACATCAGCAAGCTCAATGGGGGTGGGGGTAACTAGAATTTACAGGAATCCTTGCAGTTGTAACATTTTTGCTGAAAACTAATTCCAAGGTACAGATCAACAAACTCTGTTGGTGTTTTAACAACAGGTGTAATAACAAATTGAAGAACTTAAAAGTATATAAAGATTAAAGAATTATTAATCTAGAAAGCAGGAAAATTATTTCCAGCAGTAATTTAGAGCAGGGGTTGGCAACTCGTTCGACCGTGGGCTGGATCATGTTATAATGACGGGTTGCGGGCCGGACGAAGGCCATTAATGAAAAATTAAGGAAAATTACATATGCAGACCCCTGTCAACCTAAATATTTAAAACCATACTGAAAATAAACATCGAGAAATCAGAAAAACAAAAGAAAATCTAAAATTAAAAAACACCTAACAAAAATTACTTTTCCTCATTTCATTTGAAGGTCGGCAGGGGTAAGCGATGGGTGGTCGCTGTTGGAGGAATGAAATAGAAAGCCGACTGAGACAACATTGTCCCTTTGAAGCTGGCGCCGGTCGGTCAAATTGGCTCTGTTTTATGTTTATTTTTTTTACGCTGAAATGGAGGTGATTGGGTTTTGATCATGTTTTTGCAGTCATAGGAACCTTGATTTCCGAATGAAATAAACATTTAACTCAAGAGAGAGAAAGAATTCTGACAGTGTCTCAGATTCAGGAGTGGGTTGACACTAGGAATGTAACACTTGAATCCATTCTTCATTGGAATAGTTCTGGGGGGGTGTCTGGGTGGAACTTGCTCATCACCAATGGAATATGAAAGGAATGAGGATTAGTTTACTTGATGTATATAAGACGGGTTCAAGCTATGAAGGTCTGGATCAGTGGAGCCAAAGAATGTAGTTCACCCAAACAGCTACCATGAAAATAGCAATAATAATGAGATTAGCAACATTGTCTGTGTGAAAGGAGTTGAAGGGATGAAAACAATTCATCACCCACAAGGTTGTGCAAATGTTTTGGAAATCTGTTGAGGCTGGAAGGTGAGGATTGGGCATCTCTGTCCCATTTTTTGGTCTCTTTTGGCTCTTGTAAAGATATTAAGGCGGAAGGTGTCTGGTAGTCTTTGGTATGTATGGTAATTTTATTGCAACAATTTTATCTTTTTAATTTGGATTTTGTAAAATTAATAAACCAACTAATTTTTCTTTTTCAGATGCTCTTGTTTTTAGACAAAACTCACTGATATCAAGTGTACTCTCTGGATTAGACAAGAAAAGGATTATCCATCACACTATGAGGCAGGTCAGCATATGATTGCTGCAATGTCTAATTCCATGAATGGTGCCTTCTGGCTAAATATGCAGCACCCACGGGGAAGTGCTCCACCTAGCCCTATGTTACCTTATGCCACACCTTACCCACAGCGGCATTTAGCTGTTCATGTTGGCAATCAAGCTTCCCCTCAGGTTCCATGGAATATGGCCAACTCCGTGATGAGATTTGCTGGTCGTGGTAGGGGTAATGTTGGGGCTGTTGGTGGTGGTGCTATATCCCCAATGTCAAATCAATATAACCATGCAGTTCACATATCACCTCAGTTGAGGACACCAGAAAACTTTTACAATGTTGGAGCCGGTGTTGAAATTCTCCATCAAATTCCGAAAGGTCCAGATCCAGCCCAAGACAATTCGAGTGGGAAAAGACCAAAGTAAGAAAGGTTTACTGCGTGTGCACTAAATCTCATCTTTTCTCACCTGGAAGGCTTTTTTTTTTTTTTTTTTTTTTTTTTTTTTTTTAAAGTTCCCAGAATTTTTCAGTTTTTTTAGTCATATAAATTCTTAACATCAGTGTCTTGTCATTAAACACTTTTCCTTGGCTCTCAAAAACATTATGCCACCTTTCAGCTAAATTGTGTTTTCTGCCTTTTAAAGAATGATTCCATTCTTGGTTCATTGAATTTTTCAAGAATTTTTTAAGATATTTTGAAATTATTAAAGGATTTTTTTCTTTCTTTGCAATGCAGCCTTGAATTGACTTTAGTTGACTTATTTGCCATTTTGACTTTAGTTGACTTATTTGCCATTTTGACTTTAGTTGACTTATTTGCCATTTTGACTTTAGTTGACTTATTTGCCATTTTGACTTTAGTTGACTTATTTGCCATTTTGACTTTAGTTGACTTATTTGCCATTTTGACTTTAGTTGACTTATTTGCCATTTTGATTTGCCATTTTGACTTTAGTTGACTTATTTGCCATTTTGATTTTTGACTTATTTGCCATTTTTGACTTTAGTTGACTTATTTGCCATTTTGACTTTAGTTGACTTATTTGCCATTTTGACTTTAGTTGACTTATTTGCCATTTTGACTTTAGTTGACTTATTTGCCATTAAGTTTCAAGCCTTCTAGTGTATTAGTACTTCCTAAATTCGACTTTGTTTAAACTTGACAAAACTGTTCCTACTGCTTGATTGCATCATTACTTCAATAATTCATTGTTTTACTTCTGTAATTTCCCCAGATTAAACCTGAATAACTGACATGAATTTTATATTAATGTAAATGCTTCAGGAGCATTTTGCATGAGCTAGCAATGACAAGCAGAATAAACTGAAAACTATTTTAAAGTTTCTGTAATAAAAAATAATGCTGGTAATTTTTGTGTGAATTTAATAAATTCAAACATTTATTTCTAATAGTAGTTTTACTATTATTTGCAAAGTAATTTATGATTTTTTAATTTTCCTGATTCAAGGAAATATTAGTGCAGATTTGATGATTGACTTTCATAAATTACTGATAGGAAATTGTGTGTGTGACAAGGCTTAAATAACTTTAACAAAAACACACACATTTTAATATTTAAAAAATCTTCAATCCTATTGTGGTTTTCATTGGGAGTCAGGTTAATATGCAAAATTTTACTGTACATGCATTCATGAAATTATGTAAGTGAACATAGCAAAAATATGTCAACCATAATTGTGACTTGTCACAAGTTCCAAAATTGGCAGTTTTTCTCAAAACTATTGGACGTTCTTTCTTACTATTTGTAAAGTTACATTAAAGACACATCTTGAACTGACTTCTGTTAATGCATCTCCATTGTTTCCGGTGTCTTAGATTTGTTTTGCTAATGATATTACTTCAATATGAATTGGCTCTGTGTTTATTTTCCACACAGATTTTATTTTAGATATAAAAGCAGGAAAATCTCCAATCTTGTTACTAAGGATAATATATAAATAACACCTAAGAAGTTTTTAGAAATTGTTCTGGTAACAAATGAATAGTTTCCTTTTATATAACTTATTTATATTTAAGTATGCATAATTCTGAGACACAAATCTACATAATCTACAGGGAGGATATATCAGTTGTAGTAATATACATTACCTACTTGTGGGTGTTTTTTTTTTTTTTTTTTTTTTTTTAATTCAGTAACCGCTATGTTGCTACTGTCATGTTGCAGGCATCTGATTTTCTCTTGTGCTTGATTACTCACTCAAATATGCATGTACATGTACGCACAGCAAACGTTCTGTAGAAGAATGTGTATTTAAGTTTAATTTTTTGAGGTTATTTTTATCCTGTGTAATTTGTAATCAAATGTTAACCTTACTTTCCTTGAAAACCAATTCTAATCTTTACTTTGAAACCAAGCTTATTACTATCATACATTAAGTTGACAGGTGAAAAAATTAGCTCTAAATTGCCTGCCTGTTCTCTGAACACACTGCACCTTTTACATTTGGCAGTAGGATTTGCCTTACGCAAGTGAGAAGATTGTCTTGTATAACTTTTTTCGTCATAGATATAAAGACTTTGCATTAGTCTGTGTTTTTATATATATATATATATATATATATATATATATATATATATATATATGCTTCTACCATTTTTAAAATCTTTTAATTTTATTAAAACTGTAGCAACCTTGGGTATTGCAGGATGGGCATGTGCTGAAAGGTCACACATGATTTGAATGATTTAATGAACCATGAATTTAATGAATAAAGTGATTTTCTTCCTGTTATAATTATGCACATATTGTCTAGTTTGAAATTAGGTATTCTTTCATCTCTTTATTTAGAATTTGACAAAAAATTTTAAACAGTATTTCTTTATAAGTGTTGTTGTTTTTTTTGTTTTTTTTCTCGCTCGTCTTTCTCCATTTGTCTTGTCTATTTAAAGAAGACAGTTAGACGGAGGGAATATGAGCAATTTCAAGCGGCAACGGCTTAATCAATCTGAAGCAGTTTCACCGGGCCCGTTGCTTGAAATAACTGGATATGACAAGGTAAGTTACTGATTGAAGGATTTTCATCTGTTTAAGACTACAATTTGCCACCTTATTGCAACAAATACAAAAATAGTTGGAAAATCACTCCAGAATCTGCCATGAATGAATTGGTAAAAGCAAAATTGCATTTAGTAATTTTATCAATTACTAACCTTCAGCTTATATGACTGGTACCTTTAGAGATAACCTTGGGCTCTGTTTTATTTATACATATATATAACAATTGGAAGTGTTGTTCAAATCCAGTTCTTGATAGTATCTCTAGAATGAGCAAATATATTTATGCAAAAATATAAGTTGGTTGTTTTTAACTTTTATCATCACATTTAAATGGATCATTTTGCTAGCAAGTTATTTCATTATTTTAAAGCTTGAAAAATAGTTTGATTCTGGGAACATTGTAGTACTTTCTGTTTACTTCTGTGTTTGACAATTTTGCTATTGGTACCCAGACAATGAAATGTATAAGTCATTGCAGATAACCTTGGCCATCTCTGGACGTTTTTGCATGGTCTCTGGCATCCAGGCTAAACCCATAGTAAATATCTACATAATATTTGCTTCTTTTTATTGAATTTTGTGCTAGAAATTCCTTAGTCAAAATAAAAGCAGACGCCAAACATCAGTTTAATTTTCATGCTAGCATATAGATATGCTAGTATAAAAATTAAACTGATGTTTGGCTTCTGCTTTTATTTTGACTAAGGAATTTCGTTTAAAAGATTAAGCTAGGCTTGCTTGAATTAACTTTTTCACACATATATTGTCAACGTGAAATTCACTGTTTAAGAGTATTTCCATTTTCTTCATCAAAAAGTACTCAAATTGAACTGGTTACAGTTATTTTAGTGTCAATACTGCTTATTTACCCAGAAACTATTCACCAAATTATTTAATAGGGAAGTCATCAATCTTTTAAAAAAAAAAAAATTAGCAAAACAATTCCTATGTTCTCAGCTTCAAACATGCAAAGAGATTGCAAACTTGTGAGATTAGAGGGCTTGATAGAAACTCGTATTATTGTAAATAAGGACTTATGGCTTAGTCTCTTTTCTTTGCTCTAGTATCTGAAACTGTTGCATGCAGTCAACTTAAATTATTTCAATTAAATGAAATCATTTTGATCATTGACACCCACCCCCAGATTGACTTCAAGCCATTTCATGCAGAATGGTAACTTGGCTGAAGTTGACACACTGGTATTGATTGGCATCGATGCAATAGTGGCCCAGGGAATGCTAAAAAATCGTGCCCAGCTATCTCTATTGGGGAACCAGACATTTGTGTCGTGTTTGACCACAAAGAGAGGGTCTGGACTGCGAGGTGAACATGGGCCATGAACAAAGCACTAGATCAGCTGTGTAATGTAATTCCAGAGTATGCAGTGTCCAATAAGAACAGGGCCGCATATGAGAAGCTGCAACTGTGGATTACTGATGGTTGGCTGATATACATGATGATAGCCATTGTGTAGCCCACCAAAGACAAAGTGAAACTGGTAATGGATCACAGAGAACTGAACCAACATGTGGATGCCTTCACCGCAAATGCAGACGTGCGCTGACAAATTGAAGGAGTGGTGCCAGCAAGAGGTTAATGTAGCCCTGCTGGACTTGCAGAAGGCCTATATGCAGATAAGAGTTCATGAGTCACTGTGGCCGTTTCAGACAGTATTAATTAAAGGAACGAGATATTGCTTGGCACACTTGGGGTTTGGCCTCAACCAGAGTAAGAACGTGAGAACGAAGGGGTGGTCCGACACATTGAATGACAATTCTCTAAAGCAAATGATGGCTGGGGTAGTGACCAAAGTATGTCAAGATGACCCTGCCCAAGGCAGTTGGTGTGTGGGCGGACACAAATTAAACATATGGGTTGGTACAAGGCCCTTGGAAACGTTTGTGGTATTGGAAAGATGTGGTGCTATTCTAGATGATACAAACTGTGCACAGCATATTAATTTGGCTGGGTTTGATACTACGCTGTAGGGCCTTAATTTCACTCTACGGTGGCAGGCTGAGTCTGTGCATCTCTACATACTCACTATGTGTTTACCACTGACTGACCGACACTTTGAGGGGCAAGGTGTGAGTTGAGACCAAAACCATGAGTGAGATGTTGGTGTGGAGAAGATTGGCAATTGTAAACCAACTAGTTGATGAATGCAGCTTATGAGTTGACATTACACTGATTGCATCAGAGTTGAATCTGGCAGATAAGCTGACCTGAGTGTCAAAAAGGTGGCTTGATATGATGAGACAAGGATCCAATCCCTCACCACTGACATGTGCTGTCATGGCAGACTGATTAACACTGGAGCAGATCTGTGCCATACACTGACAAAGTGGTCATCCTGGCATTTGGTGCCCCACCTACTGCCTGAAAAGTGTCCCTCAACTGTGAAGGCAATCATCAAATCAGCCATACAAGCTTGTGAAGAGTGTCAGATGGTGAACCCAGCCCGTTGACAAAAATGAAAGCTTAGTGGGGACAGCAACTGGTGCCAGTTGGGTATGGGTGTAACACATTGTGATGACAGTCACTTTTTGACATTAACAGATTGTGGCCTGACATGTTTCACTATATGATGCCCATTGGTGTGTCAGGATGCATTCACTATCATATGACAACTAAGATCTGTTGCCCGGCAAGTTAAGTGTATTCTCTTGCTACACTCCTCCCTGATATCACTATCATGTTCTGGCAGCAATTCTTTTGACAGTGTGGTGGCACCACTCCGCTATACCATTACTCTGTGGGATGTAGGCACACCAGTATTGCATTCAAGAGGCAGTGTACTGGTACAAGGACAATACAACACCAACTGCACCAGCCAACAGAATCTACTGATACAAGGGGCAGATAAAAGGGATAGATGTGGCACCATTGCCTATTGAAAGTGTAGTTGCTCTGTATCGAGTGGAAGACAGTGTCTGAGTTAAAACACTGAACAGCCAACACACTAGCAGATTCGGCAAGGGACAAGTCGATAAAATAGCCCTCAGACTGTACTGCTTAATGGTATACCACGCCATGTGAAAGATCTTTGCCCTTGTTATGGATTGACCACTCCAGAGGTAGATGAAGGAAGTAGTGCGTCATCTGAGAGTGACTTTGGAACTCTACTGCCTCTTGAAGCAGAATCTGGCAATTTGCCTACAGACCTAGAAATGTAACAGACATCGGGTAATGATGACAATGATTGTGAGGAGACTGTGAATGAGTGAGATCCTATGGGCACCAACACGGGAGTAATGCAGGCAGAAGATCCCTCTCTCTCCCCTATGAAGATGCACTCGTGTTGAGGTTATCTACTTGGGTACATTTTGGCTTCTAGATCCTCAATGTAACCATCTAAGAGTTTTTTTTTTTTTTTTTTTTTTTGCATTTATTTTCATTAAACAAAATAAATATCTAATCTGTTTAAAAAAAAAAAAAAAATCAGGAACTGGGTACATTTTAAGTTATTTGTGCTGAGCTTTTTTATTTTATTTATTTATTTTACTTTTTTTTTCTTTTTTCTTTTTTTTTTTTTTTTCTTTTCTCCCCTCTGCAGATATCTACTGCCATGATGAATTATTTCTCTAAACATCACCAAGCAGAGGAAGTATACAGAAAAAAGATGAAACTGAGAGATGCTCTTTATGGTATTATTCAAGGTGTCTTTCCTTGTGAGTTGACTTTCTTTTTAAATAAACCACTCATTTCATTTCTTTTTCTTTTTTTTATTATTATTTCTGCTCATAGCCAGGACGTAGTCTTATTTTTAGACATGCATTCATTGTTTAGACAAAACAGGAATCATTGTCGCAAATGGTACATCTTGGTCCCACCCTTATCAATGCTTCCTTTTTTTTTCTTTTTTTTTTTTTTTTTTTTCTCTCTCTCTCTCTCTCATTGGTTGGTGCCACTCCTAAATTCCAGAAATCTGAAACTGTTTTAGTTGTATTTTTATTTCAATATACTTGACATTTTCCTCTTCCATTTATAAAATTTGTTCTGCCATTGTACTAAGTGTCATAAGATTGGCTGGTATTTACAGCCGGTTTCTAGGTTAACAAAATAAACAATTCATATAAGCATGTTACAATATGTTTGAAACTGATGTTATTTCATATTGAAAATACTAAAATTCAAGAGCAATGACTGTACATACAATTTTAATAACTAATTGCTACAGTGATTATAGAAAAATCTGCTGCTGAAGAGGTTAACTTTTTTAATCTCTTGCTATGTGGAACCAGGGTATATTTGTGGCATCACATGGCCAGAATTTTAACACCCATTTCAGGCCAATGATTGTTTTTTATCTTGTAAACTATCTATAGGCTATTTTTAATAACTTCATAAATTACAGCTTGAGTAGGAAAACCAAGAATAAATAAATTACCATATTAATCTCTTCTACTCTTTAGAGGTTAAGATTTAGATTTTGGTACTTGGTGTATTGTACTAAATAAAATACACCTAATTTTGTTTTATCATAGAACCAGTGTATGCGATAAAGTATTTTTTTTATGTTAAAAATACCTAAATGTTTTTTTTTTTTTTTTTTTTTTTTTTTCTAGACTGTGGTCTGTATGCTGTGGGATCTTCCATGAGTGGTTTTGGTACCAACAAAAGTGATATGGACCTGTGTTTGATGCTTACTCATGAACAGGTAAAATAATTTTTAAATTGATATTCCTGTATGAATTAAAAATTTGTTAATATGGCATTTGAATTTTTGATTGTATGATTAAATTTCAATTGTGATGAATGATGTGGCTTCTTTTTTTTTTTTTTTTCTTTAATCCAATATTCTCACTATGTACTTTACCAACAGATTGAATATTTGTAATAATTAATGACTTCCTGGTGAAATAGTTGTTAGAAATTTAGATAAAATTTAATGTCAATCGAAACTAAAAGCATTTCTAAGTAGTGAATATTGTAACAGGAAATATTTTGCAAGTGAACTTTTTATTGAACTAAATACAGAGATTAGGATCAAAGATATAATCACCTATGTGACAGACGAGTGAAAATTTTTTCCTAATCAAAGAAATGGGCAATCTATTATTATCCTAATACAAAATTATGCATTCTCTCAACCAATTTTGTCTATCAATTTCTTGTAGAATCCTGCCTGTGCATTACCCTGGAGAGGCCATTCTGGTCTTGTTGCCTCATCATGGCAGCACATGTCCCTAGTCTCTCAAGGCTGATTAATGCCTGACCACATACAATTCCATAAAAGAAATCAGGAAAATTGATGGCATCTTTATTATTCACTCTTATGTAAGTGAAGGTGAAAGATTTAAACAGAAAAAAAAGTGGCAGAAAATGTGTTCAACTGTTTCAGCTTTGTATTAGTACTTAAATTAACCAAGTGCACTGATATCTGAACACAATCTTAGTCAATCTACAATGGTTGACTGAATAAATGCCAGAGATTGCTATACTTAAAGCATAACACTGCTATATCAGTGAGATAACTGACAACCAGTCAGCAATCGATTCAGCTAAAGCAACTGGAAAGCATGAGACTGTAAAAGAAGAAAATCTTCAACACCTGAAATGTATATAAGCAATCATGTCAAAGAAAATGTGGCCCCTTCCAACACAAAACTTGATGAAATTTGAATGTATGATTTATTTTCATAAAATAAGTCACATTTTATTAAAGTAAACATTAAATCTTCTAGACACAGACTAGGCTTAACCTTATGTCTTGTGTGATACTTTCTATATAGTCAGTTTTTAATTTGGTAGACCATTAAAAGTGACATGGTTTATAGGACCACCCCAAATCCTCATCCGTCCTGGGTATGATGTTGAACTGCATCCAACAGCAAGGCATCTGATTAGAAGGTTTTGAGGAGCGTGGAACCACCTCTTAATTGCTGGTGTTCCCAGGTCCACCCTGACCCGGGGTGGTAGCACCTGTTAGGGTCCCAGCTATGGGCAAATAGTGAACTCCCAGACCTTACCCACGTCCTGGGTATGGCGATAAACTACGTCCAACAGCAAGGCCTCTGTTAATGTTTTTGAAAAAAAATAATGTTGCCAGCTATACATTTAATAGTACTATATATTTAATATATATAACTAAATTTGGCATTAAATGGCCTACAGTGGTTGATATGCCATAAAACCCAACCAACCAAATCCCCATGCATTAATGGGAGAATCACAACAAACATTATTGAAAATTAGGATAATAAAATTATCCTGGATGAGCAGGGCAATTAGAATGTTAGGGGTGGGTGGGGGTGTAGGCATCACTGAAATTTTGTAAAAACTTTTTTCTTGTGTGTGTGAGACAAACTTGTAAGACAAAAGTGGCTAGTCTTATATATAAAAGATACAAAAAGGTGATCTACATAATAAAAGTAGGCTACTTATACAAGAAATTCATCAAAGAGTGTATGTGGAATTGGAAAACAAGTGAGCAGTCTTGTTGCTAGATTTCCTGTATGGCTCATTTCAAATAGTTGCACCAGTACTTGAAATAAAAAGCTTGGTTTCAGGTCCAAGAGAAAATAAATTGGGACCCTTATTTTTTTTCAGAAGGGTATTGACAGTGTTAAGTAATCTTGTTACTGCAGTGATGTTCTTATTTCAAATCACTATGATAGAGCAAATGTTTGTACATTTGTCAAAAAACAAGAGTGCAGTTTGTTCAGCAGATAGTTTGAAACCAACTTTGACCTGTAATTTAAGATGTCAATGGAAATTTTACTACTTGATATGGCCAGGATTATTAATAAATATCTCAATAAAGATAACACTAGGAACTGGAAGTAAAATGTTTCACAATGTCCAATATGAAACTTTACAAGTCACTTTTGATGTGTTTGATCATTTACAATACTGTCTCCTTAAACTGGGAAGACAGTTTTTTGGTTTTTTTTTTATTTTATTTTTTATTTTTTTTTGCATTTATCAAATTTTTAACTAAAGTACTAAAAATTTTTTTTCTTTTTTTTTTTTTTTCAATTTCCACTTGTTAGTGCATACTTGTTTCTAATTTCTAACAATTTTTATTTATTTAAATGGATCACAACACACTCAAAAATAATCTTGAATGAATTAAAGTTAAATGCTCCTAACACTTTTTTTTTTTTTTTTTTCTCTCCTCCTTTTTCATCCAAAATATCCTGATATCACTTTCATTTCTAGCATTAAAAAACCTTTCTCTCTCTATCTTTTTAGTAATTTTTTTTTTTTTTTTTCTTTCTTTCTTTCTTTCATTTAATTAGTACCCTTGGGGGAAAATATGAATCGGTCTCCTTCCCTCCGCTAAGGGTTAAATAGTATGACGGGGGGGGGCTTATTCTCAAAAAATTGATAATGCAATATTTGATTGCAAATTATAATCCCAAATATGTTTCAGCTTTAACCCACAAAGGGTTAAGCCATAAAAAAAAAAAAAAATAGTTCAATCAATCATCTGATTGGATCAAAATAATTGATAAATATAAGATTACTAAAAACTTCAGTTTCTTAATGTTAGTCTGTTTAAAAAAAGTTAAAATTGGCAACTGGCTAGCAAGTTATAAAATAATTGAGCACTTTATTGCCATTAACCAGGTTTCTAATAGATGTATTTTGCTTCTTTGTTTTTCTTTTTTTTTTCTTTTTTTTTTTTTTTTTTTATTTAATTCTCTTAAAATTACAAGGTCGTTTTGGGTTCATTTGAGAAGTTTCTGTAATCACAAAGGTTGACTTCTCACTTTATTATTATAGGCTTTGCAATTATTTAATGTTGCTTTGTCTATTAACGTATCTGGATTTTGTACTCTTTAGATTGACCAAAAACGAGAAGCCACAGAAATACTAAATCTTGTACACAGAGGTTTGAAAAAGTGCTGTAAGTAAGACTATATATTTTTTCATTACAAAAATAAAATTCTGCATCTCTGATTTGTTTATTGCTTTTATAGGCTTTAGTATTTGAAATCATTGCTAATTTCAAATAGTGAATAAAGAAAGATTTGAACAGAGGCCTGAAACCCTAAATGAAAAGAATATATTGATATTTTTACCTAAACATGAAGGGAAGCTTAAAAACAATGTTTTTTTTTGGGTTTTTTTGTAGATGGCTTTAAGCTTTTGCTGTGCAAAGGTTGACCCTTTTATTTATATATATATATATATATATATATATATATATATATATATATATATATTATATTAAAATTTTGAAGATGAAATGGAACTAATGCTTTTAATTTAATTGCAAAATTAAATTCGGGGTTTTAGCTTCTATTTTTGGAACATAGTTGGAACTGTGTAGCGAAAAAAAAAACATATTTTAAATCAATTAATTTATAATGTTAATGCTCTGTAAATTTACATTGAGCACTATTTTGTAAAAATAAAAATATCTATAAGAACACCAAATTTATATCTTAATTTTTTATTTATATATATATATATATATATATATATATATATATATATATATATATATATATATATATATATATATATAAATAGGTTAGAAACAGTACAAAAAAAGTGTATTAAGGCATTAAAAACTAGAAATGTTGTATTGCAGGCCATGATAAGTTTAAAATAAAACACACACCAGTCGACCAGTTTACCCCTCTCGTCAGAACTGTTAACGGGAATTTAGATTATGAGGAAAAAAAAAAAAAAGTCTGTCATGGGTGACATGAATGAATGGACAGGGAAGGAAGGAAAGATAAAATTATACCAACCAAGCTGCTAGAAGCTTTCAAATGTAGTTGTGGATGCGACTACATAGGTAGAACGACACAGCGGTTGGACGTGAGAATTAAACAACACGTACCTGCGATAATACTAAACAAAAAATTTTCTTTGGGCGATACCATTCGTAACACTTATGGGTCTTCGATTGCGGATCATTTTATAAAGAATCCAACTTGTGCGATGGATTTCAGTGTGAACTGGTTTTCCGTCTTGGCAAGTTCGCACTCACTTTTCCATCTCAAAGGTGTTGGAATCGCTTTACATCAGGTCCAAGCGGCCTTCTCTTTGCAAACAAAGAGAGATTGTTTGCTTGGACTTGCTGTTCTTCGCTTCTAGCAGCTTTTATTTGGTATAATTTTATCTTTCCTACCTTCCCTGTCCATTCATTCATGTCACCCATGACAGACTTTTTTTTTTTCCTCATAATCTAAATTCCCCGTTAACAGTTCTGACGAGAGGGGACGAAACCGTCGACTGGTGTGTGTTTTATTTTAAACTTATCATGGCCTGCAATACAACATTTCTAGTTTTTAATGCCTTATATATATATATATATATATATATATATATATATATATATATATATATATATATATATATATATATATATATGATAGATATTTGTACATATTAAATACTCTGATCATTGTTTTGGTCAGTCAAACATCAAAACTGAATTCTTTCATTTATCAAACTTGAGGGGAATATAAATTGAACATGTAAATTTGAAATAAAAACATTTGTGAATGGTAGAAAATTATTAACAAATTAAGATGAAATATGTTAAGTTAAAATCACAAATTTGGATGACAAATATTGAAAATGAATTGGGATAACTTGGGTTTAATTTATTATATGGTATTTATGGTTGAGTTTACATATTGTGAAATGATTTGGTCAATGCAGTGCATATGGAGGAAAAAGTAAGTAGGGACAGTGGTAAATATATAAGTGAAACGGCATCAAACTTAAAAACCAATACAAACTCTGATACAGTATGGTTGTTTTTACAGTGTATCAAAATTGTTTCCCTTTCTCTTATCTTTTAGTGAAATTGTTGTTGACAAAAATCTGTTGGCTTTAAAAATGTCTTTTGTTGTCTATTTATTGCGTGCACAATTTGAATGATTCTGACTCTGTAGAGGCAAACTGCTTATAACCAGGATTTGGGTTTTTCTATTTAACTAAAAGCTCTGTAAGTGCTATAACTTGGAGGATTAGTAGGAAGATAGCTTTGTGGCAAAATAGGCTTTGTCATGTGACTAAAGATACACAATATGGTAACCTTTGTATCTTGAGGTGGGGTATTTGAAATGGGACAATGTTGCTCAAATGAGGGGGAAGTAGATTAAATCAAAAGAGGCATTTTACAGAAGGGGGGATGAAATGGACTGGTGAACGAGTGGATATATAAGCTAATGGGATGAGGTAATTGGTTGAATTTACTGGAGAGAGATGATGATGGTAAGAACAATCAAGCTCTCATTTATGATTGGTTTCCCTGGCCATATTTTTGTTGTCAGACATTGAAAGTGTATATATGTTATATAGAAATAAAGTGTCGCTGCCAACACTGGAGTTTGAACATGGATCACTAGAGAGCAAACACAGGCGAGTGTTATTCAAAGGTGTCCGACACCAGTATTGTTCAATGGCATTACTATAGTTGTATCTGCGATTACAAAGTCTCTACTACAACGAGCATTATGAAAGTGACGAGTGTTTGTTGACATCACAAAACTATAGTGGATTTGGTAGCTGGGGCCAGTGGGTGTTGACATTGACCAAACCCATAATTTATCAGTAGGGAATTTATAGTGGGGGCTAATGAATATGAATGGGTGGTACAGTGGAGTAATGGGTAGCAGCTTGGATTGAGGAATCTGAGAATTGAATTCCAGTTGGATCCATTACATTCACTTACATGCTAATATCCTTGGGAAAGGTATGACTCCTCTTCTTCTACCCCCAGCTATGGGTAAATAGCAGGACAGACTGGGTTCTATAACCTTGGATAGCAGCTGGTCTAGAAGGAAAAACTCTGAATTCAAAACTGTCCTGCCCAAGAAACACCACTTCTACTGTGGCTGTAGTACTACATATGGTGCCCCTACAAGTCTACAGGTCACGGGATATATAATTAAAAAAAAAAAAAAAAAGAATATTCAATGGGTTGTGCTATATTTGTCTGTGACTGCATATGGTCAAGGACTGTAAAAAGCCCAATCCTGCTTTGACTTGATAACTTATCTGTGTGGGTTATCTAGTTAGCCAGGCACCCTTACATTCATTCAAAACCTGTTTGTAGGGAGCAAGACAAAAACCAGTGTTGATACTAGTTGCATGACTATCTTCAAAGCTGGTGAACAGCAGGAGTGGAATGAACAGATTTTAATATCAGGCAATGGCCAGAAGCAGAATGGGTTTTGTAAGGGGAAAGTTTCCTATGGAAGGTCAGCTGTTCTCTAGTACAGAAAAGTTAAATTTGAGAAAGCGAAAGGATTAAAGGTGTCCTCATGCCTGAGAGTGGTGGTGGGAGTTGTCATTGCCTCAATCAATGAAAATGAGGTTGAGCTAGCGTTGAACTTTCAAGAATTGAATAGCTGTGTGGCATAAGAGGAGGAACAAATGCCATGGGCTTTGACTTTTTGATTTGCAAACAGCCTTACATGAGAAACTGGTATTGGTAGGGAGAGGATTGCTAGCAGGTGAATTACAAGAACCAAAAACACAATTAAATAGGTTGGGATTTGGATAGAATTTTGCATAGAAAATCATGGTAACTATCCGCAAGACTATATTGGGAAAGATATATAATGAAAAGGGAGCCACCATCTCCAACATAGATGGTTTATTTGTAGATAGAACAGGTAATTTGGGTTGAATGTAAAATAGCTGAGATCATTGGGAAGAGCAGCTTTGGGGTGGGTAAATAAGATCCCTGAATTGAAATCCCATTTGATGAGGCATAAAAAGGTTCTCTATATGTGGAAGGCTGGTAAGTCACTACTCTATCAAATGGCTTTGAACTGCATATGCCACTTATGAGTGGCAGTAAACGTGTGTGTGTGTGTGTGTGTGTTTTATGGTATGTTATATTTATGGTTTAAGTGCTCAATATCATGGATAGGGCATATGTAAATATATAAATGGATATTGAGGTCAACACCCAGAGCCAGCCCAATACAAGGCCCAGGAGCCACTCAAGGTAGATGGTTACTGAAAAAGGTTCGAGTGTTAAGAGACACAGTTAATGAAGATATATGGGAAAGATCATGGTTAATTCTAGGCTTGATTGGGTTAAGATTGTCATGGTCAGGAAAGCAAAACATCCTCTTGGGAGTCTGTTCCACAAAGTAGTAGAACTTCTTACTGATGGAATACAAAGGGAATGAGGATGGTTCACCTCTGCGTGGTATAGCAGGTCTTAGCTCTGAGAGTGGATAGAACTAATGAATGTACCTTGTCAGAATATTTTCTATAGAGCTAGCTATACAGTAGCTAGAAAATTCAAGAAAGTGAAAGGATAATTATGGTGAGGCATTAAGAATGAAAAAAGGATTAACCTTGGTAAATCTTATTAAGATGGAGTGTAAAAGATTCAGCAGGCTATCAATATTTTTTTTTTTTTTTTTTTTTTTTTTTTTTTTTTTTTGCCGGTAGCCTTCTGAGTCTTTAATACTCAATCCGTGGTAAGGCAATTTGATAATTTCTATTTCACAGTGGCATAGGTTTACCAGAAGATTGCAAAAGGGCTGTGAGAATCCCATATGTGCATGGGATTGGTAATGGACATTGCTCAGTTCCCTTAGCATTTCCCTATTGGTTCATACCTCCAGCATTGACCTTAATTTTCCCTTTCTTAGTGTCATGGAAGAAGTGCAATATTTAGGGACAACCTCCTGGAGCTGAGCACGTACTTCAAATCAAACCGAAAATGGTTAAGGCAAATTGCAAAAGAACCTTCTTCAGGTGAAAAATGATTTAAAAGGATTGATTGTTGGTATGGCACATTTGGCAGGGATTTTAGGTCTGGAAGGATGGTCAAATTGGAAGGGATCAGGGCAGGGACTGCAGTTGAAATTGTTGAGGTAACAAACAGGATGTTTAGAAGATGAGCCAAATAGATGAAATGTTAATGAATAATACTGCTGCCTTTTTCCTTGAAGTTATTGCATTTCTTGACAGATAGAATATCATGCACTTCTTTAGGGCCACATGTAGACCAAGTGGTGACTTAATTGTAGATATACCACCAAACAATCATAACCTAAAGGGGACATATCCCCAATATAGGTGCTGTTTTTTGGATCAATATCATCTAGATTGGGTTTGATAAAGAATGCTATACATCAAAAATCCTCCCCCCTCCATGCACAGTATTCATGGCTCTTTAGGATGAGGTGTCTATAAATCTTGCAAGTCTACACTGTATGTCCCAATAGGCAAGGATACGTGGCATTTTTATTTCCAAAATAATGTTGGTGTGGCTCATTAATTTATAGATATGTTAGTTATTGAGAAGAGTAGTGTGCCAGACAAAAAGCTTGTGAAACAAGTGCTGTAATCCTACAAATATCACGGGACAATATCCACATAAACAAACAGGTGACACTGGGAAGGTATAGGTAAGATTAAGCTGAATTAGTTAATTGTGTGTGTGTGTATGTGCGCTCTGGATGGAGCAGCTTGGGGATAGTGATCATGGCTTGTAGGGGCACAGTCCTCTGAGTAAGAGAAACTCCGAGTTCCACCGCTGAATATGTGATCGAGCGACACTATATCGAGTCTAATTCGCTGCCTCTTCATTACCGATGCCCGTTGGTACAGTTGGTATGACATTTGCCTGATAACGTAACTGTCCGGGTTTCAATTCTCAGTAGTGGATGCACGCTGCTGATAAGTGCCAAATATAGGATGAAACGGCCGTCCAGTGTTTTTTGTATTCTGTTGAGGCTTCTTCTAGACTCGATGAATTACTTAATAATACTTCCACCATGGGGTATCTTTAGATCAGGAGAGAACATGAAATGACTAAATATGAAAGAAAAATGACTGGTAATTATTTAACAAAAAAAAAAACATTGAACTCTTCTAATCTTATGTGGGAGTAGTTGGCTTTGCAGTGTGTCAAAATTGAAGTAATACTTTCACATTATCAAAAATATTGATAGTTTTTTGTTTTTTTTATTTTAGATGAATTCTGTCAGGGTTGTAGCAGCTGTATGGATGAATTGAGTCCCAAATTCTTGTAATATGGTGTTTGATGGCAGTTGATCAAAATTGCTTAATATTTCTTGTATTTTATTTTTCAGCTTTTATCAAAACCTCACAAGTGATTAAAGCAAAAGTTCCAATCCTTAAATTCTGGGATGACATCAGGTAACATGTCCACTTTGTGTGTGTGTGTGTCTTGAAATTCAACTTATGTACTTTTTATAGCTGTTATGAAAATTGTTTAATAAACTTTTCACTTTTTCAGCCGGGTTGAGTGTGATCTGAACATCAATAATTCAGTTGGAATCAGGAATACCCACTTACTGAAAGCCTATGCTAGATGTAAGGAATTGTTTTTGTTACTTGGATTTATATAATTTTACAAAACTCCTCAAAGTTTTTTTTTTTTTTTTTTTTTTTTCCCCTCGATGACCTTTTGGCTGAAGTTCTTATGAAATAACTGCAAGTTAGCAGAAGTGACGATCATAGCATAATAACGTATTTGTGACAAAGTTGCTTGTTTTTATTTATTTCTCTGTAGTGGATTGGAGAGTTATGCCCTTGGTTCTGTTCATCAAATACTGGTCTCGTTTTCATGACATCAACGATGCACGGAAACAAACCATCTCAAGTTATTCATTAGGCCTCATGGCTATTCATTATCTTCAATGTGAGTATATTTTTCCTCCAATTTTTTATTTTTATCTTGGTAATTACAAACTAAGGAATTTTCTTTTTTTGCAATCTTTATAAATCATTGAGTAAAGTCAATTTACCAAAAAATTGCTAATGGTGGTTTAGTTGTTGATCAGAATAGGCTTTTTGTTTTCCCCCTACTTCCCTAGTTAACCTTAAGTGTTTATTGATATCAAGCCAAATGTTATGGCACATTAAGTAAAAAAAAAAAAATCAAGATCTTGATGTTCCACCTTACTCCAAAGAAAAGGTTAGAAAGGAAAGCCCCCATTAATAGTGGAAGGAGTGAGAACAGCTAGTGGGCTTGACTAAAATTATTTTCCTGGAATTGTTTTAAGCTGAAAGATAAATTTTAACTGACAATAAATTTGGCTGTTTAGTCAATGAGTGCCAAATGTTTTCTTATGGAAATGGCTAATATTACCTTTACCTATGACATATGCCCAGCCAGTCCATTTAATGTTTGATCCCTGTTGCTGACCGTTGAATGGATCACTTCAATCCAAGCCTTGCCTTGTCCCACAATGTGTTTGATTTAGATCACAAGGCTGGCAAGGATCAATTGTCAACAGGAATTGTTGAATTGGTCTGGTCTGAACAAAGTGAAGCTACAAGTCATAGGATAAATTGTAATAAAGAAAATGTTTTATATAATGTTTCTTGTACAAAGCTGATGATACAATATCAGTTCTTCAGGTAGAAATGTGTTCTTCATGTAGGAATAGATTTGTCATGCAAAGTTATTTGACCCTTCCCTCCTCCAAAAATTTCATGACACTTTGTTCATTGTTACTAAGTCTGAACAAGGTTCTGGAACACAGCACAGTCAGGAGTCTTCTTGTTATCGCTTTGAGTTTCTGTTCATATGGATTTTTGTTCAAAACTAGCATGGGGTCTGACATGGTTTGGGGTCTTTTAGGGAAATCTTTTTGTTGACTTCCCTAATTCCTTTGTTTGACTCTGGGAAATTAATTGCATGCCCAATTTTGGAGAGGCTCCTTCCAGGGAGTAGTGGCAGTAGAATATCAATCCACCCTAACTCCTTCCTTCTCGTATTTGTACCTCGTACCAATACTGCCCAATTCCTTCACCTCCCTTGGTTCTCTCTAGACCTTTTACTTTGGTTGTCACATTGACCAATCTGATCTCTAGACTGCATGGGCACACAGGCATGGCTTAGCTCCAATTATTAATTTTAATTAATGTCCAAAATTTTTATCAATGTAATTCCACAGCCACTTTCACCTTCCCAATCGGACAATCACCAGCAGCTCCCTCGGCAGCCTCCTCTTGTAGCATTTCAACTCTTATCTAAAGAAATTTCACTGCTCCACTGATTTATGCCCCCCCCCTTTTTTTTGACAAGTGATTTTTTATAAAAAAAAAAAAAAAAAACATTTCTCCATCTTTGCCTTTGCTTCCAAAAAAACCTAAATATCACCTTTCGACCGACTTTCCTTACCAGATTATGGCCAGCAGATAATTCCATAACACGCATTTTAAAAACAATAGTGTCTCCATTTTGGTTTTTACATCACCTCTCTCTTTTTCTTCTTTTGACAAGTGATAAGGAAAGAAAAACAATTTTTTTTTATGCATGTCTTTGTTTCCAGAACACCTTAATTTTTATCTTGAATGACTTTTCCCTGCCAGGTTTTGGCAAGTAGGTAATTCCATAACCTGGATTTTAAACACAATAGTGTCTTCATTTCAGCTTTTACATTGCCTCTTCCCTAACAACCCCAGGTTTAAATTTCTTGATTTACCCAACTAAGGGGAAAAAAGACAAACCCCCTGAATTTAATAAAATCTGGTCTCGACTCTGTATATTTATCGATCTATCTTTCGATCATTAAAGTGTCACATCTCTCTCTGTATAACCATTGAGCTATCTATTCAACCCTTAAAGTGCCACATATCAAGTTGACCCTAAAGACAGGTGTGTCTGAGTTTAGATAAGATAATGCTGCAGAATCACTGTTAGTCATGGGATACATTCTTTAAATAATATTACCAAAGATAATTTAAAGTACACTATTTACATTATTTGTACTATTGTCCTCATCTTTGTTGCCATATTTATCACAACGTTTCAGCCATTGTACGCTCTGGCCTTCTTCAGGTGGTTGGAATGTCAAACTGAACTCTTTATTTAGCTCGCTGGGGTAGACTGTTCTAGTTCCATGTGCCATGTCTACTGGATGACATTTATCTCCTATTAATTCCCCTCCCCAAGTTCTCCACCACCTTAACCAGGTATTGAACTCACACTCTTTGGGTCCTGTCACTGAATTTAACCAACGTCTTTATCCACTGTGCCATGTGTCCTAAAGCGAGCGAAATAAAAGGTTCAGTTCAAGGCTGGAGCGTACAACGGCCGAAACGTTGTGATAAATATGGCAACAAAGATGAGGACAATAGTCCGAATAATGTAAATGGTGTACATAATACCTCATCTCAGAAATATAGACAATTTAAAGTGTTTAAAAAAGATATCAGCTTAAGTGATGCACTACAAAGTTTCATCTGTTGATTTCAATGATGATTTTTTTTGTCTAAACTCTAAAGAAATAATTGGACAGGCTCAAAATTCAAGCCATTCAACAGTTTATTCATTGGCAACAACTGAGAAAGTGACTAAACTTGGGGAATGGGTTCCCGATGATTTGACAAATAGCAACCATAAAGTGAATGGATATATGTACTCTTATGGCTACATCTAGCTGCTTTTTTTTCTTTTGTTTTTTTTTTTATATAGACAGATTAATAACTGGTAATGAAAAATGTATCTTTTTACAATATATACCAGTGCAAACAAAACAATAGCTTAATAGAAGTGCAACTTTTCATGCATTTCTCAAGGAATGTTTTGGTGATTATGTTGATATGACTCAGTTTGAGTTGCTACCAGTTAATGTTATGATCACAATAGGCATTTAAACATTGCTTTGAAGGGAGGGATATCCAGTTTGATCAACTGTGAAAGTGCTGTCTTCCATCATAATGTCTGGTTGGATACATCAAAGATCACATTTGAAAAGAATGAAGACCTCTACTCAGTATAAATTTCATATTGTTTTTCTTCAACTCTTTATCTATTTGCTAACTCTTATTTTTTATTTTTTTTTTTTTTTTTTTTTTTTTTTTTTTTTTTTTTTTCTCCAAACCAAATGACTTTTAAAAACAGCTTTAGGAAGCTTGTAAATTGTTTTGGGCATTATTAATGGTGATGAAATTTACGTTAATGAATAAATTCTGTTAAAACCAGAATCTTTTCTTTTCCGACCCTAAATTTGTACACTACTAATGTGATGTCTTGTATTGTTTGGAAAATGGAATTATTGGCTTTATCTGAACAAATTGTTAATTAACTGAACTTTGAATCATTAATGAAATAGGTTAATGGTTGTATGATTTTAAAAACAATTTCGTAATTAACTGATGACTCTACTAAAGACTGTTTCTGAGAGATCCTATATGTATTAACATTTTTAATCATTTATTTTCAGGTGGCACCAAACCTCCAGTTTTACCGTCCCTCCAAAAACTCTACCCGGTAATTTTTCTTTCCTCTCCCACTCTATGAATAAAAGTATCTAATGTACTGATCTTGAATTTTCTTAGATAAAATATGCTGAGCAGAAAATTGTCCCATACAATTTGATTTTGAAAACAATATTTTTTCCATGAGGATTCTAGAATTCATGGCTTATGTCTAAAAGAATGTGATATGGTTGTGATTTAAAGCCTATTCTTAAATACAATAGATTTCCTTTCTATTTGATGTCAAGCCATATTTTCATTTGTGCAAAGATATAAATCACTTTAAAATTAGTTAATTTGTTACTCCCTTTTGGTTTTGCTTGTTCTTTGTCTTATATCATATCTTTTTCTACTTAAGGACGTTTTCAGTATCAGCAATGACATCAGCTCTCTGCGTTTGGATGAGGAACTGCCTCCATACAAATCAGAAAATGAAGAAAGTCTAGGTGACCTTTTTCTAGGATTTCTCAAGTACTATGCTACAAATTTTGAGTGAGTATTACAACTTCACTGCATTGTTCTGTCTTATTGCCAGAATAAAAACCCATTTCTAATATTGACAGACATCTCTGTAATATCACACAGCATTGGTTTGGTTCTTTTGTTACTGCCTTTCAGTTTCAAACGCTCTGCTATTTCTATACGCACTGGGACCAAGTTACCAATTGAAATAGTGAAACACAAGGTAGGCACTCCTGGTCAATGGAAGTGCCTCTGTATTGAAGGTAAGTCAATACCTTTCACATTAAATTCCATTCTCAAAACCACAAATCTAGCTGTAGGCCAACAAAGCCAGTAAATCTTTGGTGTACCATTTTTTGACGTCTGTCAAAATTGTATTATGTTAGATCATAATATCTTAAAGATTATCTATTATCATATGTTCCTGTTGTATGTAGAATGTAAATTAAACGCGTTTGATCTATTCACTCACTTCCACTTTTAAAGTTTCTCTCAAATGTTAATATTCCAGAAGCATAAATTTGATTCATTGAAGCCATACATACATACATACACTATTTAGGAAAACATGAATTTTCATAGAAAAAAATTGGAATATTTTTTTTATTCTTTCTTTCTCTAACATTTGTTTACATTGTAGATGATGTAATTCTTGCTGCTACTGACAAAATCTTACTAATAATTTTTATATAATATGAAGCCTACCTAGTTGTATGCAATAAACACTGTAACTTTCATTATTGAAGTTTGTTTTAGGAAAGCAAAGATTTTTCTTTCTTTTTTTTTTTTTTTTTCCTCTTTGAGATTTGATTGGTTGCAGAACAATTATAAATAGGAAACAAATATTTTGTTTAAAAATCACTTGGTTTTGGTTCTCTCTGCTGATTGGTATGGTTTATTATTTTCAGAGCCATTTGACCTCTCCAATACAGCACGTGCAGTATTTGATGAGGACACTTTCACACGGGTCTATCGTGTGTTTCAGACCAGCTACAAAAGACTGGATAAGAGGAAAGATGTCAATGACATTCTGACCCGGCCATTCTAAGCCAAGAGCTCATCTCCACAATTTTTTTTTTTTTTTTTTTTTTTTTTTCTCTCCCCCCACCCCCTCCATTACCTCCATATACAAAGAGGCTGCACACAGGCTGATGAGTCATCACCAAGTTCAGCCTTGTTCCAGTGGCAGATAGGAGGGTGGGTGGATGGATGGCAAAACTCAGGGTTTTTTTTTTTTTTTTTTCTTTTTTTTTTTTTTTTTTTTTTTTTCCCTAAACTCTATTCTTTCATTGGGCCTTACAATACAGAACATGTTCTGATGTTCAGCAATTTTCAGAAGTTATAGATGATATATGGAAACCAGCATATGTTGTCATTCCTTGATATTTTTCCTCTTCCAAAAAAAGAAAAAAAAAAAAAACACACTTTTCTTAACAAGGTGGGAAAGAAAAAGAAAAACATTAAAAAGTTCATCTCAGAGGGTGGTACCAATAGAACAAGAATTTAACCCTCCCTCCCCCACTTCTATCTTTCTCCAATCTCTATAAAGAAAATTTTAAGTGGAGTTTTCCATTCTCTCTTTTCTCTGTCAGAGGATTTGTGCTGGTCAACATAAAATAGTTGTATGTCGGGTTAGACATGAAAAGGTGGTACATGTTTCAAGTAGTCCAAAACGGACCTGGCCAGCCTTCATTGTATTTGGACAGCCACTGGTGCCAAGTTAAAATACCTCAGAATTGGTGGGGAAGGGGAACAGGGACTATCAATCCTCCACCTCTGCAAAAACCTCTTCTTTCACTCTTCTCCAGGTTACTACCACCACCACCCTCCTCCTTCTCCTCCTGCTGCTACTACACTGTAATGTGTGTGTGTGTGTGTTTTGTTTTTTTGTATGCGTGTGTAAGATTTCCATCCCTTAAAAGGAAGGAAAGATCGGCAACTAAAACAATAAAAATGTAAATATTTTTTGTAAAATGATTTTTTTATTATTTATTTATTTATTTTATTTTTTTTTTTTTTTTTTTTGTTGGTTGGTTTGTTTTATTTCCCCCTCCCCCTTTCAAGTGCAGTTATTCTGGTGACTGTATTTCAAGATCTGAGCCAGAATGTTTTTGCTATCTACTTCAATCCTGGTTTTCTCTTTGCTTATCATCCACAGTTGATAGTTTAAGAAAAACTATTTCGCTGCCTTGTTTTTAGTACAAGGCCATTTTATTTCACTACTTCTCATACTACACTTCTCTTTCTGATCACAAGTAAAAAGGCAAAGTTCAATTTACAATACTGACCAATATTATGAAAAGAGCAATAGTTAATAAAAAAAAAGCCATATTGGCTCATAATACTGTCATACTCCCTGATAGATTGACATCCACAGCTATCAGTGTTTAAGTATACAGGAAGGATTGCATTTCTGTTTTTGTTGAATTTTTGATGAAAATCTACAGGAAAACTGTTCTCTACGGTGAAATAGACATGTTTTGGACTGAGCACTTCATTCCAACTTGAAACTAGCATTTTTAATGGGTGAATCTCATTTTAATCAATGGAGAACATTTTCCTCGTTTGAGATTGGAGGCTACAAATTGAAACCGGAATGAAATTTTACCTTAGGATGAGTCTAGTATGAATATTATCACAAAATCCTACCATCCTAGTAATAGGTGAGCTATGAAAGAGAGGAATAGTCTCCTAGTTGCATTTACCCCATTATGGGCATTATTATATTCATGATATAACACCTTATTTCACAAAAGGAATGACAAACCTGCTGCTCAGTTTTATACCGCTGCATCATACAGAAAATTATATACATATATTTACACTTGTCTCACACAGAAACTGATACCTTTTCACACTGCTTATTGTGTAAATGTAACAAAAAGTAGGGTCTTACTTGTAATAATTCCCAACAGGAACTGGAGAAACCATATTTAGGACTCCAGAGTTGAGCAGACTGATATATCATTAGCAAGGACATATTCCTCTCAAAAAAAGAAATCACAAATCATTGGCTTTTCCCAACATGAACTGCATGCTGGAGAATTAGTTTCTATATCTAGGAAAATTATATTCCAAAGGAAAATAGCACCTTGTAAGCTGCAGCACATGGGAGGAATATTTAACCTCAGCCCAGACTAAAAAAAAACAACTGCTAGGCTTGACTCCTGAAAAATAACTGAGTAGCCCCTTTGTCACTATGAAGTGATGTCACTAAGCAGTCATTATATGACTTCCTCTCCATCAAAGGGAGATAATTGATTTTTGTATGCCTACAGTACTCCCTCCTTAAACAGGTTTTAGAAGTTGCCATAAGGGGTTACTTGTATTCTGATTGTTCTTGATATAATAGAAATGTAGGAACATACTTTATCAAACTACAATGTAAAAATGTGCATGCAATATATATTAAAAAGTACTAGTTTAAACAATGTCCATTTAATAGCACAGAAAGTTCTTACTGTGTTAGTGGGGAAGCTGTATTTAGGATTCCAGTAGGCTGGATTTGTTTGCTATATCACTAGTGAAGATATATTTCTCTCAAATGAGGAAAAGGCAAGCCAGAGATGGTTTCTATAACTGGGGAAATATTTTCTGAAAGGAAAATTGGGTCATGGGCTTGTTACCTGCATTGTGTGGTAGTTGGCTAGGGAGAGGCAGCTTTAGACTCAGCTTGAAACTTTAAAAAAAAAAAAGCAAAGGCTCAGCTTGACACTTGGAAGTTGGCTAACTGACTTATCCACTTTCGTTATTCTATGAAGTGATGTTGCTAAGCAGGAGTCACATGAGTTAATTTCAACCAAAGGGAAATAATTGCCTTTTGTATCCCTACACTAAGAAAATCAATTTTTAATGTTAGGTGATGCATTAAACCATGTCCTATCAGATACAAGGAAACAACTTTCCTTATTTTTAATAGAATAAAGTTTTCATTTGTAACCATAACCCAATTGGAACTGTTTATGAAGAAAATTTTGAATTCTGTTGGAAAGAAATGTCTAATATAACAAATAACCGGAAAAAGTTGGAAATGGTATTTCTATTATGTTGAGTTGCAGAAAATACATTTAGGGTGGGTGATTGATATCAAAGCTAAAAAAGTTGTTACTTATAGCAGTTATTGGGGTTTTTTTTTTTTTTTTTTTTTTCCTTCTCCACTCAATTTCACCAAGTCAAAATACAACTGTACTAGTGAAACCAAAAATTTAATTTGATTCGACCTGTAAAATCATTTACACTATTTACATCATTTGGGTTGTTGTCCTCATCTTTATTGCCATATTCATGACGTTTCAGCTGGTATACATTAGAATTTCAAACCAAACCATCAAGGAGAGGGGTAGATTGTTCTAATTCCATGTGCTGTGGTTAAAAAAAAAACTGGTTACTGAGACATTAGGCCTATAAGTCCCAAAAATTTACTTTCTGATGTCCCTAGTAGATAAGTTACTTTTTGGATTACTTCCACCAATACTTAACTCAAAGAGTTGAGTTCAATACCTGTCCAAAATCTGGAGAGTTTAATTACTAAAAGGAATCGAGATATCCAAAAAAAGAAGACATTTGCAATGATCTAATGTATAAAATATTACAAATTTCAGCTTAGTATAACTTAGGAAAAGAAGTTAAATGTTGCTCTCAGCTAAAACTAAGAATGGCAAATTGGTCAGGCTTTTAAAATTCAAGAGTTCATGTCATAGCTACAAATTCATTTGGATAACATTTAAATGTCAACTCAAGAACAAGCAGGAGCATTAAAATGATTACTTTTTCTTTCTCTCCTGGTACATCATCCAATTTGGCACAATAATTTTAGGCTTGATCAGCCATCATCCCCTCTACATTCCTCTTAGAAGCTTTGATTATTTGTGGAAAACAAGAATTCTGAATTGTAGGATACTTGTTTTAAATACTATAGAAAAATATCACTGCATATGTTACCCAAAATTAATGTTCATTGTTATGAAAGAAATGGAACAGTATTGAAGTTTGTTTTGTTTTTCTCCCTAAATAAGGGAATTTTGGGATTGGAATCAATTTTTGTTGAGGAAAACAGAAAAAAAATATGCTTGAAAAAAAAAAAATTATTTTACTTCCAATTTGATAAAATTTTCAATGGTAAATTGTTAGTTCTCAAACTTTTTTCCTTTTCTTTTAAATGAAAAATTAAATCAAAAATCCATTCAGCAAATCATTTGTTAAAAACTTCAAAAATCAAAATCTTGGCTATCATCCAAATTTGGAAGCTTAAAATTTCCATTCTTTTTTTTTCTCTTCAGTTGAATCTTATGCACTGTCTTCTGTTTTAGAAATTTTTTTCTCCAACATCTTGTATCTAGCACACAGTTGTGTATACATCTGAAAAAAAAAATATCAGTCAAAACTTGTTTAATTATCTACCAAAAAAATGTCAAAGCATTTCAAAGAAAATTCATATAGGATTTTCTGCAACAGAAAAAATGCTGAAAGCTTTTTTTTTTTTTTTTTTTTTCATCTTACATATACTTGTGGCTAAAAATGTTGGAATTAGCCTAAAATACTCTTACCACAATGAGCTGATCTCTGGGTGTCTAATGTTAGTATGCCATAACCTTATGGAAAGTTTGATTATGGGGTTTTTAGGATCATTTTACATTGAAAGAGGATATAATTGCTTGAAAAGTAATGCCTGTCTCTTGTTTTATATTGGCTTACTAGCAGTATGACCCATCTTCGACCAGATGTTTCACTAAGAGGAATTTTTACTGTTCAGTTGAAGTTTAAAGTCAGCCCACCCAAAAAATCAATATTAGTAACAACAATTGGGTGCAACTGAAGCATGTCCTCAAATAGGCTGTTTTTGTGTTCTAAATCTTGTTTCAGCAGTAGAAGTGTTTATCCTCAGCCGTTGCATCCTTTGATCATTGTTTTCAGGTATGCTCTTCTGGAAAGCCAATGGCTATGTTGATCTTCGGATTAAGTGACTCTGGTTGAGGCAAACAAACTGAATTTTCTAAAGACGATTTGTTATCCCTTATTCGCATGGCAGACCTGGCGGCAGCGTTTTTGCAACCTAGGCAAATTCTTCTCTTTGGTGGTATGTCTTAGTATGAATTGTCAAATGGAATGTACGAGCAAAAACCAGAAGAGAATGCTGTAAAGCTACAGGAATCACTAAGCTTGAATAACTTTAAGAAAGGTTGGAAAAAATAAATGTTAATTAAAAAAAAAGCAAGCAAGTTTATTACTATTGTGAATGCAATGCAAAAACTGGGAGTACAATAAAAATTAAATTGGGAACAGCTATAAACGACAATGAAAGCAAAACCTTAAAACTGTAAGTCTTTATGCAACGGAAAAGGTAACCTCACTTGAGAGAGATTGAAACCTTGGCCAAGAGGAGGGGAATGTGTAAGCAGAGATGGACATACAGAAGTAGAATTAAATGGTAACAATGAGTTAAGGACTGTATAGACAGTCAGCATGACACTGCAACATTTGAGTGAACATATAAAGGGGCTTCAAACAGGTGTTGTGTTCTGCAGATCATACATATGCATGTGAGACATCGTGTGTTGCATGGCCATGCATTGCTGCACATGCTAATTATCAAGGTCAATAGCAACATGTCGAGGTGTGAATCACACCCACACAGCATGAGCTAGGATTGGAAGGTTAAGTGTGAAAAGTAATATTAGGCAAATGAAACTGAGAGAACATGAACAAACAAAACTTGGTGAATGGACACACAGAGTTGCAGAATAAGTAGGTTTATTTGTATGCAGGCAGAATTGTGGTGACTAGGCATATGACTGATGTCTTGTACCTGTAAAACTTATTTTGAGTTCACTACAATTGAGTGATTGTTTCACAGGAAAAATAACAAATATAGGATGTCCCTGACAAGTGTTATCTTGCTTGAGGCATCATCAACCACTCCTCAAAAAAAAAAGAAGTTATTTTGCATGCCTGTTACAGCTTCACATTGAACACACCTTCAGATGCTACATGACCATCCTTTCATTGTGCATCTTTTTTGATAAATTTCAACTCTCTAATTTGATTGTACACTGTTTTTTACAGACATTAAATTTTGACTTTGATTTTTGCACAAAGTGTAAAAAATCAGTTTTTTTTAGTTTTTTTCACCTTTAAGGTTGCAATTTTTTCCAGCCAATTTGAACTCAAAACCAACACTGAAGAATTATCTATCAGACAAAAACAATTTCATTGAAATCTGATGAAAACTGGAAATACATAAACAACATCCAATTACACACACATTTTGAGAATTATAGATATTGATTACATTTTCAGATTCTTTTCACAGATATGTTAATTATATTATAATATTAATAATTATTAATTATATAAATTTAACTGGATAATAATATAATAATAATTTAAACTATGGAAATAGATGGTATTGCTTTCAGAGCAGCTCTTGTGTATGAAATGGAAAAAAGAAAATCTACAACATTCAGCTTCCTTTTAACAAGTTATTTTAAAAGAAAAATGGTTTAAGATGTTACTAATATATGAGATGCTGAAAAGTTCTCAACTCAACCCATTTCCCCTAAGAAACACCAGAATACTTTGTCCTTTTTTTTTCCTCTCCCCCCCCCTCATTGGCTTGAGTTGGGAACTTTTTTCAACACTCATAATAAATAACTTTTTAGAAATTTCCATCTACACACAAAAAGTCTTTTTATTATAACTTACATCTTTTGACTTTGGATCCGGTTCAGCAATACAAGTCATGGCTGAAAGATTTTCAAGCAGTTCATTGAACTTTCCATTGCCCATCAATCCTAAAAATGAAAATGTTGAAAAAGATTTATAGTAAATATTTACTAGAAGTGCAGACACTTGTGGGGGATGGGTGACAATCCTATTTTAAAAGTTCAGCTGATGCTGTTTAGTTTGCATTAATACTTTCCCAATGGCATGATAATTGTTTGAGAAAAGAGTGGTGAGGTGCAAACACTTGGGCAAATCACTCTCCAATAATGATTCTCAGCAGAAATGGTTCTTGCGACAAGTCCATGATATTAACTTTCCACACTCCTTCCAAATCCTTTTGTTTAAAATAAACTCACATCAATACAAGAAAAAGTGATAACAGTGAGCTTGAGAAGTTTAATTTCCTGAAAACCTATTTTAAGAAAAAGATTTTAGGAATTTTGATTAACATTAACACTAGTCGGCCATTTCCATAAAGGGAACATCTACTAATTGCACCATTACCATGGTGAAAATAATGAGGAGGGAAATATATATATATATATATATATATATATATATATATATATAATAGACTCGCTTGTTGATCGATGTGGGCTGTTAACCCACACCTACTGGGGACCCTTTTATGACATATGAGGATCAGACAACTCAGTTCCTAGGAACTGACAGCCAGGCAACCTGCACATATTTGATTATAGTGTTGAAGGCTTTGTGCAGAGCCAACCACACTTTTTGAAGGGCCGAATACAGAGACCTGGTGTACTGTAGGCGACAATGATCCCCAAATGACTCTCTGCAGGTTTTGAATTCAGAGTTGTCCTTCTAGACCAGTTGCTATCCAAGGCTATAGAACCCAGTCTTTCCTACTATTTACCCATGGTTGGGGGGAGAAGAGGAGGATTCATACTGTTCCCAAGGGTATTAGCACATAAGTGAATGTAATGGATTTGACTGGAATTCAAACTCGGTTCTCTGATTCCTCAATCTGAGGAGGCACGATGGAGTAATAGGTAGGAGCTCGGATGTGATATATACATATATATAAAATATACACACCTAATGTATCAAAAATACTTTTACAAACTTTAGGGGCAACAAAACAAGGACAAAAGTCCATATAAACATGTCCACAACTATGTTTTTGAGTTAAGTTTAACATTTATAGTATGTGAACAATCTAAAAATACTTTACAAATTTTGGTGACGTATTCCTGATACCATATCAAAACAAGGTAAAATGTCCATATAAAGATATGTCCAAATGACCATCATTATGCTCACAGCAACTCAACAAATGTTTAAAATGTCCTCTGCTTGCTTCTACACATGCATGCACATTTTAGATCATTGACGTGCAGACCCTTTCCAGTACTCCCACACTGTGTCAAATGATTTCACAGGCCCCTATGATACATTAATGTACCATCTCTGCATTATTAATGTTTGCTGCATGAACCACCTCTTTTGGGTGGCCCAACAGATAAAAATCCAGAGGATTGAAGTCAGGGGAACGTGCTGGCCATAGAACCAGTCCTCCCCTACCTATCCAGCTTTCATGATAGATGTCAACCAGTGCATCACAATGTGCTGGAGCACCATCTTGCAAGAAACATGCATCTTCATATTTGCAGGGGTACATCCTCTAGCAGGTCTGGAAGGAAATGTATTCAAAATAAATCACCTGTAAGACATGTTTGGAGAACATATTGACCTACCAGCCCACATTAATCAGTAAACTGATGCTGGTGTCTAGCCTGTATTGTGTCATGGTGATTTGGATCCACCCACAAATCTTGGTTCTGTAAATTTATTATTCCATCTCTTCCAAATGTTGCCTCATCCATAAACAAGACTGAAGAGACAAACAACAGATCAGCAGTTTGTGCAATAAACCATCGGCAAAAGTTCTCCCGTAGTGAGTGATCAGAGCATGAAAGACCCTGCACATGTTGCAAATGACACAGATACAGGAGCTGCTCTTGAAGTACCCTGCATGTGGTACTATGAGATTCACAACATGCTAGGACCACTTGACATGGGATGATACCTGGTTCATCTCCGACAGTCTATAAAATGTGTCCTTTGTGGTCAGACATATGAACAGATCCCTATCCATAGTTTGTTGTGCCACAGATCCTGTCTCGGCAATGTGACAATAAACAGCAGCAAAGGTTGGATGACTCGGCTACATTCAGTTGGGAAACACAATCTCATAAAACAGTGCAGCCTCACGTCCATTAACATTTGTGCAGCCTTATGTAAAAATCATATCTGCATGTTCATGATATGAATATCCTGCCACTGTTAAACGAAACACTTCTCAGTTAACTCGATGCTATACACGTTAAACATTGAAGACAGACTAGCCATAGATGTACATGAATGACAAATGTAACCTAGTCTACATGGCAACAGCACCATCTACCATAAAATTTCTTTTTGTGGGTATGTTTATATGGACTTTTTATCCTTGTTTTGGTGTGAGGACCCTGCCCTCAAAGTTTGTAAATATATTTTTGATACACCCCCTCTATATATATATATATATATATATATATATATATATATATATATATATATATATATATGGGGAAATTGTATGACAAAGTGGAAAAAGTTTACTTGTGACACATTTCATCCTTCATCAAACTAAATTTGTTATGTTGGTAGAACAACACATGCACATGACAGGGGTGCTGGGAATTTTATTTTTTATCTACAGTAAATTAAAGACTTAATGAATTTGGTGGAATTCTCACCACCCTTCTGTTGTGCAGATCCTACCAATATAACAAATTTAGTTCAATGAAGTCCTGAAGGATGAAACGCGTCTCACAAATAAACTTTTTCCACTTTGTTATACAATTTCCCCAATACTGATCTTGAGATTTTATATATAAGTGAACACTCAGAGGCAACAGATTATTTCATGCTAAATGCAATCATCAGGTTTACCTAGCATATGTCAGAGGGTATCCCCCCAGACAAGGCTATGCCCAAAGGGCAGAGTCTCGTCTCAGGAAATTGACTCCATTTTTACATGGTCTATAGGGGATTTTTGCCCAAGCCTACGGGCTCAGATACCCCCACTTTAAAACTCGGTCTTGTGCCACATATTGCTGTGTAGGGCAGTGGCTAAATAATCAGGCCATACATCTTATTTAAATTTTTAATTTTGTCTACTTATTTTTAATAGGATCCTCTTGTTGTTATTAAAGGAAGAATGAAAATCACCATGTTGATGAATATGCATTTTATTCCGAGTATTTTTGACAAACTTTTTCATGAAAATAATAAACATAAACTAAATATTCTTGAAGCTGTCTATATTAAAAAACTGAAATCAACTCTTGATAAAATTCATAGTAAATCTCATCATGGGGTAATGATTACATACTGATAACGATTTGTAACAAGTTTTATTCTTACTGCATATTCTACACTTATAAACTTGTCTCTAAATTTATTTAATTCCCTGATATATTTATTGAAACTTTCTTCTTCATGTCCGCTATTGAGATTTGCTGAAATTTATTGATTTTAAAAATTTAAAAATTCTCCTTTCACTTTTCAACCTATATACGAGATATTTTGTTTTCAAGTGTAGACCAGTTCTTAACATGATTATCTGGTTGTTAACAAAATGATTGGCCATTTTTAACCATAAATATTTAAGATGTCACAGGAGGGCAGATTGATTTTTCACCTTTTTTTTTTTTTTTTTTTTTAAAGAAAATACACATTACACTTAGTGTAAAAGCTGGAGTTTGATGTTATAAGTACTGACATTAGAAATTAGATTCATAACTTTTACAAATTTATGGGCACTTAATTTTAAAGATCATCTGAAAAAATGTACAGAAATGCCTAATTTCCACAGGTTTTCGCTTACAAACTGACTTCAGAATTTTACTATTTCAAAAATAAATTCAAATAAAGTTGATATCTTTTGTATTAGATACACTGAATGGAAAATATATTCAAACCAGAAATCTAATTGTGAATCACCACAAACAAAATATGCAGTTTTTTTATTTTGCTGTATTTGATAAGTAAAAACTAAAAAAAAAAAATGTAAAAGATTGCAAAAAAGGCTACTCAATGAATAAGATTTATCATTTTTTTTATCATTGGATAGATCATAATAAAAACAAATAATAGGTAAGAGTATATAGCACCCTAATACTGCTTATAATTTGTATAGTGATTTTCCAAATGTAGCTTAGATGTGGCACAAGGCTGAAATTGGGAGGCACCCCATGAGGATTGAACTCACTTCTCAGTCATAATTGTTGTAGCGAGACATGTTCGTTAACCATTATACCACCTCACTACTGGTTTATGTCAGAGGGTACCCTCCAGATGAGGCTATGGCCTTTGGGAAGAGTCTTGTCTTGGGAAGCTGATTCCGTTTTTTACGTGGTCTATAGGGAATTTTTGCCTGAGCCTACAGGCTCGGATTCCCCACTTTAAACTTGGCCTTGTGCCACATCTTGCTGCATGGGGCAGCCAGTAAATAATCATTACACCACCTCAAGGTGCCCTAAATTATAATTTGTATATAAAATTATCATTGATCACCAAAATGAAATTCCAATGCTACAAATTTGAACCTAAACCTAATCTTTTAAACTCGTTTTCTCAAGAAACAGTAATGATTTTGAAAAAATGTTTTGTGTCATTATTTATCATGTCAAACCCCAGCTTTCAAATTGAGTGCAATACCACAGTTCCAAAATCAACCTGCCGTAATGTTACAGCTGAAACCATTCATTAGTGAAAGTAAGCAAGATTAGAACTGACACCATATTGCCAGCAATCTAGCAGTGAATTTCTGCCATCAAAATAAAAACTGGGATCATGCTGTCAAGCATTTTGAACTTAGTTTGCATCAGCAAAAGTGGAGCACAGTGAATAGGGAGAATAACAACTTTTGCTGGGTGGTCTTTGGATGCACATGACCTTTCAGTGGCATGTAATAAGATAAGCATTTGATTCACTACTGCTGGCCAAAGTATTAGCAATTTTTAATGCATCAATTCCAAATTAAAGCAAAACACTGCCT